GCCGTACAGAAATTATCATAACGGAAATATGTCGAATATTTCTTATATTTCTTCGGTGAATAAACTACGTTATCGCACACTTTGCTCTTAGCAGATTTTGTGGCGCGTTATCTAAAAGACGATAATTTTATTCAATTGAGAGTATTTTTAAATGGAAATGTAACTTGTATTACAATTCAACGGATACGCAATTTGATCGATACATGTATAAAATGTGTAATAATAAATTTTGCACGGAAATTATTTATAATTATTTTTTTTTTAATAAAATTTGAAATAGATGAAGAGGTTAAAGATTTTATTTTGAAAAAGAATTATTAAATTTTATTTTATAACTTTTTACAAAAATTTAATATTGGAAGTAATTAATTACGTATTTTGAGTAGATTTTAAAAGCATTATTGTTCAGTGTTTTTAATAAATACACAAAATAAATAATTAATCACTATCTTTCAGTATTAAATTGAATTTATAAAGAATGAAAAATAAAATTTATACATTTTGATAAAAAATATTTCTCTAAATTAATTTATTATTATTATTATTACTATTATTGCTTTCTCTAATATGTTTATCTAAAAAAGTAAAATTGAGTAATTTTAATCAATAAAATCTTATAATTTTAATTAAAAAATTTCGCGATTTCATCTTGTTTTCGTTTCTCAATTTATTAAAATCGTACGATTTCAATGCTCTCAAAGTATAAAAAATTAAAAAGAAATAATTAAATTAGTTTCCGTAAATTCTTTTTCGGAAACGAAAGTAAACTTTGTTTCTCGAATAACCATACATATGACATATTACGTCCATATCGAAAAAGATTAATTTAAAAAAAACGAGTTTCTCTGCACATCTTTTGTATTGCATATGGATCAATATACAATACAAAAAGATTCGTCATGCAAAAATTGTGCAGCATTATGATATTAAAAGATAAAAATAACAAAGAAATAATGTTATATATTTCTTTATAGAGAGCATATTATATAAAAATCTATTAAATAACAAGTCAGCTATTTTATATAAGTAAAAATTGTGCTTTTGTTATATATGTTATAGATTCAGATTTCATTTAAGCAATGTGAAATTACTTCCAGTTTAATATTTTATCGATAATGATTCAAATATAATACGAACACGTATATCTTTTAAGAACCGATTATTGAACTACGAGAATTAGAAACTATGTCTCAAGACAAATTTTATCTAAACATATTTCAGTTAATGATTACAATCTATTTTTTAAGATTTATTTATTAAACTTCTCCCCCCCCCCCGTATATACATCTCACAAGTTTTGAAATTAGTTTCAATTAAGTACTTTAAGAAATCACAGTCGCAAATGTGCGGGGTATAATATAATTTATATAATAATATTAATAGAAAAAAAATTCTTTCTTATTTCTTAATCTTTCTTATTCTTTCGCATTTCTTAACATACGTAAAAATATACCTAAAAAAGGGACAAAGAAAAAAAAAATTAGCTAATACACATATTACATATTAGTGAAAAAAATTGCATCGATATGACAAAAGACTCATCACACACATCATTTTACGCGTGAAGTAACAAAAAAGTTATAAGCCTGAAAAAATTGTTAGAAGCTTACAAAGCGATTTATAAATAAAATTTCCATAATACTATTAATAATAGCAAAGAGAATACTTCTGCTATTTTGAGAATATTTTCTTTTTCATTTTAATATTATTATTATAATATTTCTTTTCCACATAGCTATCTGTATTATAAAAAGTATACATCTAAATAATATATGAAAAATTAATTATTCTTATTCTTCAGCTATATATACCTCTTTATCTTAAACTCGCTCAATTTCTCTTTCTTTTCTTTCCCTCTGCACTTTTTCTCTACGATTCTATAACGATCAAACATTGCGAATTTCTTTATGGACCGAATGAACTTCAACTTAATATCGGTGATGTTCTTTCACCGATAAACGTTATCGTGCGCTTATAGATCCGTAAGAACATTCTCTCTTCGAGCGTTTCCTAGAATAAGAGGATAGTCTCTACTGTTCGAGAGCACCGCGAAGAATGGTGGTACATCCATCGCTCCTCGTAATCGAAAGCTGAGACCAGACGAATGCGAAGTCAGCCCAGATCGTGCGCGGTCCGATCTCTCATGGACTCTCTCTTGCTCTCTTTCTTTCTCCCTTTTTCTCTTTCTTCCTCCCTTTCTTTCTCACCCTCTCAGGTTCGACTCGGCCTCTCGACCTCGACGCCGATCGAAGTCGAAGCGTATGTATATAACGCGCGCCGCGGCGTGCGGCCGTGGCCACCGCCGCCGCCACCACCGCCGATATATTCGGGTCGTTCGGATGGTCGCTCGAATCTCGGAACGAGCACAAATCCATACTGCGCCACGCGCGCAAGAGAGTCGAGGATCGTACTTGGACCGGCTTTTCTCTTCTCTTTTTTTTCGGCAAACGTCCCGTTCGTCGGCACTGGGAGGACGCGGGGGAGGACCGGGAGGAGAGCGAATCGGTGGGGTAGCAGCGACGAGAAGAAGAAGGATGAGAAGGAGAAGAGATGGCGGGGAAGTTACGAAGAAGAAAGAACGGAGGCTGACGGAGAGCTCTCCGCTGGGATGAGACTTGGGGATCAGAGGAAGCGAGGGGGTAGAAGAGTCGGAAAGCAACCGTGTGTGCAGCGCCGTATGCGCCGGGGGTAGGCAGTGGTTGGAGGAGGAAACAGAGGGGTGACTGTAACATGGAGAGAGAGGAAAGGAGAGGAATGGTTAATGGTACGAGAGAAACAGAAATCATAGGAGGAGGAAGAGAGAAAGGGGATGAAGGAAGATGGGGAGGAGACGAACGGAAGGGGATGAACGAGAAAGATCGCGGCTGTATGGACGAAGGGTTGATGAGGGTATGAGACGCAAAGGGGAAGGATCGCACGGGGAGAGGGGGGGATGGAAACGCTCGAAGCCGCCGTTCCCGGACGGGGAGCGGCGCGAGAACGAAGATGGCGGCTTGCGCTCGATGACGCCCATCACGTTGCCGTCATTGACGTGGACACAAAACGTACATGAAGTGAGGGATACAAAAATCTATATACATTGAATGTTGCGTATTACGACTATCACGAAAACGAGAGATCGGACGTTCGTCGGCGACGAATGTATCCCATTAATGTCGTCGGTGCCCCCGTCGAGAGAAGGGAATCGCGTTGCCACGGGGCAAGAACAAGGACACAGATGGCGCGACTTCCGCGAGGAGAAAGAATCCGCCCTACAAATCTCTTCCCGCGGGGACGAGGGTAGATAGGAAGAGAGAGAGAGAGAGAGAAAGAGAGAGTAGTGGGTGGACATTCTCGATAGAAGGGGTTGGTAAGGTTTCGGAGGGAGAGAAAGGAGAATGAGCGCGCATCGCGCGAGAGGGAGAAAGATAGTTGACGTAGGATAGAGACGTGGATGAGAGAACAGGAGGTAGAGTGGAGGGTGCGAAGAGTGGATACTGAGAGGGTTGTCGGGGGTTGGCGAAAGAAAGGAGAAGGGAGCGATAGGGGTAGATGACGAAGGGGTGCATGGTGCGCGCGCGCGCGATTGGCAGCGCGACACGGAGGGACACGAGAGATCCGCGAGAGAGAGAGGGCGCTCTCCCCCGAAGTTTTGCGACGAGTCTCTCCAAGAGAGATCCTCGGGTACGTCCGTGTAGTACAGGAGCTAGCCGATAACGAGCTAGCGCGCAGTGCCTGGTGTCGGCGCGGATCGCGCTTCCGCGGTATTTCTTCTTTCCTCTTCTTCTTCGTAACGTCGTGTCGGCACGCGCGCGCGCGCTCGACCGCGAGCGAGTAAGCGAGCGAACGAGCAAGCAAAAGAGTGGTGTGTACACGTTGTGTGTGTGTGTGTCCTACTATTAGCCTGGTGCACTCGCCCACTGTGCTCCCTGTCGTCCTTTCCTACGTCGACTTGTTCCGACGTACGACCGTCATCGCCGTCGCCGTCGTTATACCGTCACCGCCGCCTTCGCCGTCTCCGTCGCCTTCACCATCCTTTAGAGTCGAGATTATAAGACAAGAAATATAAGGGAAGAGCACACCTATTATCACCTTGGTGTAACATCCGGATACGTCGGATCCACCGCGCAACCCGACGCACCCGACGCGGGTCTAACCCTCCCCCGTTCGGGGGGGCGCGAACAGAGTGGATTCGTCGTACCCTTTCGAAACTGTCATACATGTCGCGCGAATAACACCCCCTACCCTGTCTTTTCTCTCACCCTCATTCCCCCTCTCGCGTAACATCCGCTCGTGATCGACGTATCCGATATTCGCGATCATAGATGATGATCATCGAGGCGCAGATCTTTTGCAGGATAATAAATAATTAACGGAGAACTGGGGGCCGTGCGCGAGACAATAGCGTTGCATCTTTGAAAAAGAAAGAAAGGCAGATAACGAATATACCAATTACCAATATCGATTAGTAATCCTATCGACAATCGCGCTGACGAAGAGGAATGTACTTGCGCGTTCATATATGCGGAAACATCGCCTCTCCCTTTCCTGTGCATGCGCTAGATCGTCGCACGTGTGCGTTGGTATTGTAAGCGCCTTAAAAAGATACGAGAAATGAAAAGAGTATTAGTCTGCTAATGAAATAAGTATTCCAAGAAGAATCTATCGGGAGAATGAAATCAATGTCATGAGCAGCGTGTAAGATAGATCCCCGCAATGTTCACTGTGAACGAGAAGAATTTTTTCCGTCACGCGACGAGTAAATGTCATTAATTCCAGTTATTGTCGTCGTTATCGTTATTATTGCCGGGTTGCGAAGAGGATCCGTCCGAACGGAGCGTTATTCTTCGGTGGCCGCCGTCCATCGCCGAGATCCAAGAGTGGAATCGTCGGGCGCGAAGGAGCGCCACGACAAGGCTGCACACACGGGGGTGACAATGCGCCGATGCGACGACGGTGGTGCCAGCAGCAGCAGCAGAAGCGGCCGCGCGGCAGGCAGCAGAAGCCGAAGGCGCCACCAGCAGCGGCAGCAGCAGCAGCAGCAGCAGCAGCAGGGTCCCGAGCACCACCGCCAGCACGGAGCGGCCTCCAGCGCGTACCTCCAGCGTCGCGGCAGTCCCCGTTATCACGATGATGTCTTAATCTTAACAATGCCCCTTTGTATAACGTTCCTTCTTCGCCGCGACCGTGAGATACTCGCTGGTGTCTGCCCATACCCATCGTCGTCGCCGTAATATCCTGATCGTCGTCACCGTGATATCCTGTCGTCGCCTTTGTCGTCCTCCGTCGGAAACATAATCGTAAGAAAAAGAGAGAGACAGTGAGAAAGTGCATGGTTCGGTTTACGTATAAATTCTCTGCACGGAGTAGTTAATTTGGTCCCGTCCTCTGAGTGATAGGCGAATGCAAGGGTGGCGGTGGCGATGGTGTGGTTCGAGTGGTGAAATACCATAACTTTCACTCTTTCTCCCTCTCTCGCCCAGGAACTACCGCCGAAGAATAACTGTGACATCAATGTCGCTGTGTCGAGTTTGAGTCATTGTGTGTTCATCTTCTATCATCGCAATCCCAATGCAATTCGAGTGAGTGCGCCTTCTTCGTATCTTCATTAGTGACGTTTGGATCGAGTTGGTTAATCGGTTACCGACCTCAGTGACCTCAGGATACGTCCATGAGGTTTCGGATGCAGCGATTTCTGAACAGATTGCCGCTGTTGTCTGCGTCATCGTCACCGCTGTCGTCGCCGTCGTTGTCGCCCTAGCAGCGGTGGGCGCCGCCGTGTCGTGTGAGTCGTAC